CTGATACTGCACTCGCTGTTGGCAAGGATCGATCGCCGAGCTGGCTGATCGACAGTGGTGCGACGTCGCACATGACGCCATACCGGGACGATCTCTTCGAGAATGAGGTCGTAAACACGAACGTCGAGGTGGCTTTTTCTGATGGTAAGAAGCCGCGCGTGGCGGGAACCGGGTCGGTGTGCTTGAAGGGCATCGACGGCAAGCGCATCCAAATGATGGAGGTACTCCACATTCCTCGCCTTGATCGCCGCCTGCTGTCGGTGGGGGAAATTGGAAGGACGCGAGTTAAGCGTCGAATTCCGACGGGATTCGTGTGTTATCTGGGACAAGTCGACTGCGATTGCCTCGGAGAAGAGACCCACCAAGGCCTACGTATTGGACTGTTAGCAGGGAATGACGCGATTCGTCGAGTACAAGGGGTCAGTGAATCAGTGGGATCTGAGGCATGCTTGCATGAGGCACCCCATGAGGTCGCGTATGCGAAGACGCAGCGTGCAACGACTGGGATGCCAGTTGTCAAGCAAGGGGTCAAGACGTTAAATGGTGGCTGCATGAAGGGAAAGCAGACGGTAGCGCATATTTCATCAAGATCGCTGTCCAAGTCATCACGTGTACTAGTGCTAGTACACACGGACGTGATGGGACCCATGAAGACGAAGTCGAAGGATGGAGCAAAGTACATGTTCACCTTCGTGGATGATCACTCGAGGTTTGTGGTCGAGTACTTCCTCAAGAAGACGAGTGAAGTAGTGACCAAGTTCAATGCGTACAAGCGCTGTACGAGAACCAGTGGGGTCAGCGAATTAAGGTGACTCGCTCAGACAATGGCACTGAGTTTGTGAACAAGGCTCTTGATGGGACCTGTGAGCGCAGCGGAGTCGTGCATTAGAAGCCTGTGCCGTACAGCCCGCAACAGAACGGCGTGGTCAAGCGAATTAATCGGACGATCATGGAATAGGCTCAGAGCATACTGCACAAGAAGGGTGTGAGCTCGTTGTGGTGGGCTGAGGCGGTGAATGGAGCGATGTACCTGATCAACAGGACCACAAACAATATTCTCGCAAACATGACACCGTGTGAGCTGTGCTTCAAGACGAAGCCGCGTATGGAGCATTTGCGCGTGTTCGGCTCTACCGGGTATGCTCATATGGAAGACGGCAAACGTACGAAGCTGGATGCAAAGAGCTTCAAGTGTATGTTCTTGGGGTACGCTGAGAACGTCAAGGGGTACCGGGTGTACGACTTGGAGTCAAACAGGCTTAAGGTGTCACGTTCGCTGAGACTGGATGAACGTAAGGTCAACGGTATCTACGATACGGCTGTACCGAACCAGTTGACAATCGTCCATGTGACCAAGGAGGTCGACGATTTAGTGTAGCATGAAGACGTACAGCCACAGGTTGAACCTACCGTCGTCGAACCAATGCTGCCCGCTAGGGAGGAACTCGGCGGCGATAACGTAGAAATTTAGGAAGTTGAACCAGA